TCAAAAAGATTTTTATATTTAGCCTGTTAACCTTTTGTAATTCCTACCCGAAGCTTTGAACTGCAGAACATTTTGATGCTAATTGTTGTCAGGAGGGTATCTGCCATGGCCCCTTGGCAATTGAAACCCATTGAGTTGTAATGCAGGTGCCGGTAATTGCACAACTGTTCTGGTCTGGCTCCAGCATGTATGTCTCAAACAATTCCTTTCAAATTGGGTTTGAGAACACTTAAAAAAAATAATCCCATATTTGAAGATAATCTCATATCAGAGCTACAATAAAGAAAAATTTAGGAAGAATTTTTCCTCTCATTTGTAAGAGTTTTACATACTTACACTTTTAAAGCAGCCTTCACTGTGGCAGATTATAAGGTTCAACAGCTATTGTGGAGTGTTTAAAATGTCTGTTAGTGCCTTTGGGTTTGGATATTTATAGGAATCTTTGGTAGTTTCTGAAAGTATGGTTGGTTGCTGTAACACCATAATCCAGTGAGTATGACATGGGAGAGGGAGGGGAAAAGAGGGTTTGTGATCATTTGAGTGATATCAGATTACTTTCTTCTAGCCTTGCTTTTCTCAGTATGAAATAATGATGCTTTTCCTTTAAAGATCTCAGAACAATGTGTCTAATTTGAACCTGTGTTATAGCCAACAAAAATCTGTCCTACAATCTTAGTGTGCATCTGTGTGTGTGGTTTCTACCCTTAAGGAAAACTTAATGTTCTTTATTTCACTAGAATCTTCATTCCATTCTTCACAAGGTCTACATAGTGCAGAGTTAATGATTATGCAATAGTACTTTGTTTGGAATACACAATATGCTAAAGGGCTGCCTGGGAAAATATTTTAAATACAGAGTAGTCATTACTTTTATTAAATGATTATAATTTTAGTGGGTTTGATGAACCCTCCCTCTGAGTGAAGTCTTTTGTTTCCACGGAGTGCTTTAATATGGATGAGAGTCATTCTCATGAGAAAAATCTTTGCTTAACTAAAGTTACTATACACAGAAAGAAGGTAAATCTAGGGTCAAAAATAGGAGCTTTTTGTAGTCTTCCTGTAAGGTGTGTGTGTGTGTGTTTATTTTCTAATTAAAATCATTTTAATTCAATATTAATTTCCAAAGACTGAATTAAAAAGGTGTTCTAACAGTTTAAAGGTGGTTACCAGTGGTGGTGAAAAGCCATTGCTGGAAATTGGAGTTCCAGGTTCCTGCCTGGGAGCGTGGCTCTTGCAGCAGGGCAGGATTCAGGATTTGGGATGGGCTGGCTGGTTTGGCTTTGTGCTTGCTGTAGAAGCTTTGCTGTGGAGATGTAGCTACGTAACTGCTGTAGTAAGAGTGATTTACTCCAGTGAGTTTGCAGTTGGAGTGCAAGATTCACTGCCTTTTCTTTATGCCCCTTTATAGCTGTTTGTGTGGGCCCTAGTTACTGAAGTTCTAGGGATCTGGACACTTTTAGCTTCACCCTGAAATGGCTGATTTGGCTCATTTTGAAGCAAAATGAATTAATTTTGCAAATGCAAGAAAAATTCTGTGGAGGTTCCATTACCTTGAGTGTAGTATTTCACGTCTCTTAGGTTAATTCTGAGTAGTGAACCCTGACTAGAACTGTAAACTTGGAATTCTTCTTCACTCAGCCTTAGCGGTTCAGGATTTTGGGGGTTCTGTTTGCTCATACTACAGTTACACAAGTGCTAGTGGCAGTTTTTTCTTACTTGAAGTGTTGTATTCTAGAAAGGTTTGTGGCAAGAGAACTCAGGCTCAGCAGCATGAACTAAGGATAACAGAATCCTTAGCTATGAAATGCATTGGGTTTTGTCAAATTAACTGGAAAAACTTGCTCTGACATACTAGCAGGTTTTTGGTAATTGAAGTTAGCTCTGCAAGGTACTCATGGAACAGGATTTTCTCAGTTAACAGTTGATTTCAGTCTTGGTGCTTTTGTGGTTTCATGTTTTTCACTCAGCAGTAAAAGCAAACTATTTGTTAACTGTGTCATCTGTGTTTTACATCAGGGAAGTTTGGGGTTTGCTGTTGGAAACACAATGTGTTTTCCTTATGGAAGCTGGCGGTCTAGCTGTGTGTGGTTGGTTTTTATTACAGGTAATTTGAACACCATTTTCTAACATAGGCTGTATTTTTAAAGCAGCACTGAGAAATAAATTCACCTAGTAATTGTTTTACAGTGTGTATGTCTAGAAAAGGGGAGTTGATAGAATACCTATTTTGGAATGTTAGTACTTTCCCAGAGAGGATTTATGATGGAAAAGAACAAAACTAAGCAGAATCACAAGGCAAGGCACAGATTCCCACCTACTACACTGTATTATAATGCAACCTGCACAATTTGCACCTGATAAAGCCCTTTCAAGTGACAGAAGTAGACAACTTAGCCATGATATTTTATTCTGGTGGCATCATATTAGGTTGATATAAAATGCAGTGTTCTTCAGAACAAAGCTGTAACCCAAACGACAACAGCCTCTCGTGTATTAGCAGCCAGGTGTACCACAGAAATTGTTTAACATTTGTTAGAAGGAATGTCTATATAAAATATGTATATCAGGTTATATTTATGTCATATGTAATTCATCTAATGCACAAGCCTTTCACTGCTGTTGCTACCATACTGGCAAGGGAGATTAAAGTGGTTTGCTACAAAGAGATTGTCAGTTATGCTATGGCCACATTGTAAGTGTTTTAGCATCACAGTCACTGGGAAGTGCTTCACTTCTGCAACTGTATGATCCAGATATTTTTTATACTTTCAGTTCTGTCCATTGGGCAACCTGTGGCAGGATCTCACTGTCCTCACAGCAAAGAACTTCTTTCTAAGATCTCAGCCTCCCCTCTGGCAGGTTAAAGCCATTCCCCTTTGTCCAAAGCCCCTCTCCAGGTTTCTTGTAGCCCCTTTAGGCACTGGACCAGCTCTAAGGTCTCCTTGGTGCCTTCTCTTCTCCAGGCTGAACAGCTACTACCCATACTTGATAAGTTTCTTTGGGATCCATGTAGTAGCGAAGTCGTCTTCAGTAGCTTAACACCAGTTTACTTACCAGAAGTTAAATATATTTTGCTTTCTGTTGAGCAAATTATCTTTCTTTCTTTTCCTTTTTTTTTTTTTTTTTTCCCTCCCTTAATGAACAAAGCTCTTGGGTGAATGGATTCCAGCACTAAAGACTAATGCACTGTGTCTGGTCACCTTTGAATGAAATGGCTGGTACCCCTAGGACCAATAACCATGTAGCTTTAAAACAGTTCAGTTGAATGAGGATGATATTACAGCATTTGTTCTGCTACAGCCAGCTAATAACTACTTGCGTGTTAACAAACATGGGGTTACTGCCTTGTCATCCTTGCTGAAGGTGCTTCACTGCCGGTGTTTTTTCCTTCCCTTCCCCAGGCGTCCCCTGCCCCTAACTTCTGGCTTGATGTCCTACCCAAGTGATTAGAGTGCTCTAATTGAATTGGCTGTAAAAAGATAATTAATTGATATTTCACTCCCAGAGAGGTCAAGCTGCCCTATCTTGAATGTATGAAAGTAGTCATCCTGCTGGCACTTAGCCCTTGAAGGTGGCACGTGAGTTCTGTCTTGCTGATAGTCATAATGGTTGTAATTAAAATTAACACTGATTTTTTTTTTTTGTTTCTGGTGCTTCCTCAGATCACACAAGTAGCAACTGTAGTCTTGTTACCATATCTTGACAATCACTCTGCAAATACATTATGGGTAAGCCTCATGAAGGCTTGTGTCAAACAGAAAATGTTTGCACTAGAAATGTTCATCTCCTTTCTTCCCTAAAGGGTCACTGATGTTCCTTTGCTATTCTGTTAAAGAAGAAAGGCTGAACGGGATCCTTTATTTCTTTGAACTTGATTTCCAGCCCCTGATGACAGTTAAATGAGCCTTTGACTGTAGTCACTGCTAAAATATCTTCTTGGTGTTAAACAGTGTCAAAGCTGTGTGGAACAAGAACTATCAGTTAATAAAAAAGGGTTAGGTTTAGTGACAGAGGAACCTTCCTGAAACACTTAGTGCCTTAAGAACCTGGAGCCGTTCTGTAAGCAGTGTGTAAGCACTCATTGCCCAGAGAATAAATACTGCTACTACAGCAAAAGTTAACGGAGAGAAAGATGTTATTTAATGTCCTTGCAGAGGCAAAGACTTAGCTTTTTATCTTACCGTGTAATGATAAAGTTACAGCACTGTGGAGGTAACTGCAGCATTCACAACTTGAAGTTTCTTCTTGAAGGTATTGTAGGTAGTATAAAGTGTAACGGATTATTATCTTTCTTTCACACATCACCCCACAGAATTTGAGAAAAATACTACTATTTTTAGGTTTTGTCCTGAATTATTCAACAACAGCTTTCCAACACAAAGTATTCCAACCAGGATGCGAATTCCCTAACAAAGAATTCTCCCATCTTCTGGTTTGTATTATGAAATGCTTCTTCAAGTTTCCTCTCGCCAAGAACATGACCAAAACAGCCTCCTTGCAGGTTTTGCAGGGAAAAGACGTTACTTAATAGTGAAATGTGAGTTCCTTGGCATAAATTTATCATGAGGAATTGCAGTATTGCTAATTGTTCACTATGCTGATTGTGACAAAACTAGATAACTATTTACTTCACTTCAGTAAGATTTTAGTTCAACAAAGAAAGAGCAGGTAAGAGAATCTGATACAACTTCTGGTTTCAAATTCTTTTGACTGTGGAGTTATACATTCTGGCTTTTCTCTGTTTTATTTTTTGGCTCTGTAAGGAAATGAATAGTTGTGTGACCAAAACTGGATCCTGGTCACTGAAGTAAATAATGGGAAATTGTGCGAATACCTTAATATATGTAAATCAAAATCTAAGTTCAAGTGCTGATGATTTTTGCATTTGTTCTTAACTTACAATGCAAAGGAAAACATGAGCACATCATAAATTACACCAGGTTTGGCACTTAAGCACTGCAGAAATACTTCATTTTTATTTTTTTTTTCCCTGTGGAAAGGAGGCAAAAAGCCAAGTGGCAGAATATCTGCTGAGAAAGCTGAGAAGATGACAGTCTCACAGGAGAAAATGGAAGACAGCAGGTATGTGTGAATCAGTATTCCTGCTGCTCAGCGGGAGAATGCTGTCTGCCGAAAGCAGTTCTGATCTCTTTGCAATGCACCACTTCTAATTGGTGTTACGCTCTTGGACAAATGGCCCTGTCTCTTCCTTAGCTGGCCACTTTAACATAAATACTGCCTTTCACATTTTATGCCAGTACATCTTTTCCTTCCTTGTAACCTGGACTTGTGCTTCCAAGAGCAATGTTTCTGAGTCCTTCTGTTTGATGCTGGGTTTTGAGGGTGTTTGGAGGTTTTTAAAGGGTTTTTCTTCTTTTATTAGAGCTTTTCCACCCTGTTTCAAGTGCAGGAGATCGGGGCGGTTTCACTGCACCTAAAATTGTCATCAGATCTACTGCCTTTTTTTTTTTTTTTTTTAGCCAGGTTTTGCAATCTGCTGTGATTACACTGGGTAATTACATCTCACCTTGTTAGTTTTAAACTGGTGTGTTTAAATGAACCTCCATAATTGCATACTATCTGGGGGAGACCAAATTACATCCAGAAGAAAAACTCCTCTGCTTACTGGCCAGTGAAAAGTTTGATTTGCTTCATAAAAACCTTTGTGGCATCTTTCAGGTATCTTCTTATTTCAGCCCCCATTAGTACTGACTTTGCACACTGACTATAGCAGGGGCTTTAATCAGGACAGTATGTAAAGAGAAACTCTGGCTTTCAACAAAGAGAATATGACAACTACTGCTTCCTTAGACTGAGGTGATCTCTCCTGACACAGCTGATTCCCGGAGTCATACCAAAGCTAAACTTGGCTGAGTGTGTGTAAATGGCTTCAAGTGTTAACAAGAATAGCAGAAGGGTTTTTTTTGGGCAGCTTTATTTCCTCAAAACAATGTAGTTGGTTTCAATATGTATTTTTAATTCACATCTAAGCAGCATTTTTAGCTTTTGGATAACTTTAGGCTTTTCTGAGTGTATGTGCAAGTAGACCTCCTATCCCTCTTTCTATGATTCTGTATTCTCATGCTAGGTGAGGAACTGGAAGAATTAACTGTCATTTCAAGTATAGTGAAAAACCTTCCTTTTTAGAAGTACCATATGAGAACATAGTAAATAAATAAAAACTTGTTTCTTGTAACCATGTAATCGATATGCAGCTCTGAAAGCAATACTGAATCTTTCCATGATCCAGCCACAGATGTGCTTGCATTAAGGCTGTGGTATGAGTTGATAGTAAATGAAACTGCAGCTACAGCAGCAAGTATTGGGGGAAATGAAAATTCCTGACTCAGAGGAGCAGGGCAATGACAGAAAGACTCCTCATTATAGATCTTTTCATATGGGGAAGAATGACTGGTAAATGAGGTTTCTGTGACACAAAGAGGATGGAAATACAGTTGGACGTTCATGCAGAAACTGCACTCACTGTATAAAACAAACAGAAGAATAGGGGATATGTAATCTGCATTTCTTAACTGACAAAATGAGTATGGAGAGATCTTCTCAGACGGATGGCAGTTTCGGCAGTGAAGATATAGTTTGACTTTCCTGTTATTTGGCTTGTGATGAAAATGGCTTTCCCTATACCTGATTATATTGGTGACTTCTCCAGTGTTTGCTTTATTTACTGTACAGTAGGTTACAAGCTATTTAAAATACAGACTTGAGCAAATCTGCCATGATGACTAATTCTCAACCTTTTTCACTAGTTCAGCTAACAGCAAAGCATAAAATAATTATAATGGAACTTGCTGACATGAGCTGGCACAGCAATTCCAATATCTAGTCACGTTGGTCCCACTGATTTGCAGTAGCTTCTCTGAAACAAGGTGTTTTTTCATCTTTAACCAGTTGAGAAGTCATGTTTATGTTAAAATAGACTGGACAGTGTTCACTAACAGTAGTAATCAGAGGTACCCAGCTACTTAAAGCACTTTCAAAAATACTTCATTTACTACATGCACTAACTCTCTCCCTCATTTTTGCAGTGTGACCAGGGAATTTAGTGTAGACTGAAGCGATTTTTGTTTTATTTTTCTTTAAATGGCTTCACTTGGCTGCATTCCAGCCCCTTAGGCTTAATCTGTCTTGCTTCATCCTATTTAGTGGCCCAGATAGTAGCAGATTCCCAGATTTCTGGTGCTAGAATAGCTGGAGCTGCCTTCACATGGGATGCCATCTCTCTTCTGTGGTCTGTCTTTGGCCATAACATATCTTCATACATTTTATTAAATGAAGAAATAAGAAAGGGTGAAGCCTTGTCTTCAGCCAAACTCAGCTGGACTTCTGTCTTATGATGTGAAGGGTATGTACTTGTTTGCTGAGAAGGGGGTCTAACCTTTTCGGGTAGTTGAGAGGCACTTGAAATGCTTGACTTTGTCTTCAGTAATTTATACAATCAAAGAGCAGGAATAGCCTGTATTATCAATGTATATAGAAAAAAGTGCTGAGGTTTCAGATGGGTCACTTCTTGTATTTGAAGCTGACTAACGCATTGATCTTCACCTCAGTCTAGTAATTCCTTCAAACCTACAGTAAGTCACACACAGAGTCATTAATTACCTGCACCTAGAAGTCAGTCGCTGCCTACAGTGGCAGCCACTCTATTATCATCTGGAGTATTTCAAACAATAGGAATGATTGAAACAGGAACTCCTACATTTCTGTACAGATGAAGAGTGGCACACCACCCTGTAATTTAGGTACTTGTGCAAGTTTTCATTTGCATTAGCAGAAAAGTGTGGGTCGTTGAATTATTCCATAAAAATATCCTTAGGTTTTGAAAAATTTACTGTGCCATGTGTATGTTGTTTGTTTTTAAGTGTGCTGGTTTGGTGGTGATGGATTTTGTGGTTAAGTGTGTGTGTCTTCAAGCGAAGGTGAAACTGAGATTCACTGATTCTCTAGAAGCCCAGAGAGTGGCACGTTTGAGTCTCAATGCTGAGAGCCACCTTAAAACTCAGTTACATTTATAGAACAGCTGAATTTAATTTTAAATCCATCAGTCAATCCCATTTCCTTTATTAGTAAAATGAGGTTCTTGCATATGTGACACTAACAGTTACTGCAAGCAGAGATTTGTTGTCACATATTTCTGTTTTCTTCAGTTATGTGGTAGGGAGGGTCACGTTTGTGTTATAATTAACTCAAACTAATGGAAATTGGAATTTACTTGAAATCTGGATGAAGCTGCCTGATGAAGGTTTACGTATATTTTTCTGTGACTTGCTTGACTTTAAATGGTTTAGACAGGAGAGTACTTAATCATGCCAAAAGTGTAACTGGATGTTACATAGTCATGACTTAAGATTCTCTTAATCTTTTTGTGTCCCTTTAGTTTCTCCATCCATATTTTGAGCACTGTTTTTAATTAGTTGGATATGCTTTAAAGCAACTTCACAGGAGAATGTCCATTTTCAGTGCCACTGCAGAGATCTCTTTAATCAGGATTGCTGGTCAGAATACTTCTGTGTAGGAAAAAGGCGAAGGTAACTGAAAAAATATAGTTATTTCAGAAGAGCTGGAACTTCCTTGGCACCTAATTCTGTAACTAACTCTCATCAGTACTGCACAACTCAATTCAAGATTTTGAACGTTTATGGAGTTGAACAGAAGCTGATAATAGTGACAGGGCTACATCAACTTCTTTTGTTCTCTTTTAAGGCATACTCAATTCTAGTTGTATAAAAACATCAGTTTAGAGATGATTGTCATCATGTGGAGTTGTTGCAGCTCATGATGTGGCTGCACAGGTGACTGTAGCTGCAGAAAAGATTTCCTGGAAATTTCAGGACAGCCGTGATCAAACAGTATTTTCTGTGTTACAATTTATACTTTGGACTTGAACATTTTAGGTACAACATTTCATCAAAAGTGTAGGTGCTCCATATGAGTTACATGCAAGTGGAAACATGGTTTGTGTAATCTCAAGAAGTTCTTTTTCATTCCGTTACTCATTGGAATACATTGTTTTAAATAGTCTCAGCTGTTAGGTAGAGGCAGCTTGTTGTTTTTCCATAGCAGAGGTCACTATGCGTCAGGTGGCAGATAAAACTTAAAATACATTTTATACTGACATCTTGCTTGACTTGGAAAGGATTCTTTTAATTGCCCCTTGACTTGATTCCTTGCGTGTCACAGAATCGCACTGTGAGATCCTGTCAATCCATGGAGAATACTAGCCATGAGCTTGGTTTAACAGAGGGGAGGTGGGACTTTACCCAGCAACGTAGGAATGCTGTGTATCAGTCTTTGACTGGGTTGGCTGGGGTGAAGATGGAAGAGGAAATGTCAGCTTCCTTTATTATTTATTCTGAGCAATATTAATTACCTGGTTTGTGATTGGGAAAAAGCAGCCACAGGCAGAACCTAGCCAAGCACCAAGCCTAATCCAATCAGCCTGATGGATGCAGAAAGTTTACAGAATGACCTTGTGCATAATTACTCATTTGACGGCTGTTAGTAAATGGCACAAATGGAATCTGACATACATTATAACACATTAATGATTGCCTTCCTCCCTCCATCCTCTTCTGTACAGAAAAATGATTTTAATTAAGACTTCCGTGATTAGTCATTTAATCAGTCATTAGGCCAATACAGATGGAGTCAATTAATTTTTTTACACTTGAATAGAGACTTGATGCTACTGCAAACCATAGAATCTATTTTTTTAACATTGTATCATGGGCAATTGCCTTGATGTCTGTCTAGGAAGTGTACATTGCTCCTCCAAAAGCTGGATAGCATTTACAACATGTCACTATTATGGCAACTATAGGTACGTTTTATTAGAAGCTAGCCAAATTTTAATGAATTGATTTGGTTCTGAAGTCTTTGGTTGTTCCTGTTATGGACTAGCCTTTATTTTTTGAAGAGTAGTGGGGCAGAGTTGCCTGTTAAAGAAAGTGTATTCAGCATCTCCTAATATATTTTATTACAAATAATAATACTTTGTGTTTCATGCAGGAATTTCAAATGTTTTATGAACTTAACGGCTTTGATATGGGAAGATTTTCTACCTG